AAATAACGAGCAAATCTGAAACTTTTACAAATATGTAGAAACGATAAATAACATACTCTTTTTAAAAATACCCAGTGGGTTAAAGAAGAAATCACGAGAAATTAGGAAATCCTTTGAGATTTATGAAAATGAAAGCACAACATATCAAAACTTATGGGATGCCGTGAAAGCAGTGCTCAGAGGGAAGAAAAAAGGTCTAAAATCCATAACATAGCCTTCCATTTTAAGGAATTAGCAAAAGAAGAGCAAACTAAACCCAAAGCAACCGACGGAAGGAAATAAAGATTAGAGTGCAAACAAAATAGAGAATAGAAAAACAATAGAATCGATAAACAAAAAAAGGCTCTTTGTAAAGCTCAACAAAATTGACAGACCTTTAGCTAGACTGACAGGAGAAAGAGAAGGATTACAAGAAAATATTGTTAAAAATTGTATGCCAACATGTTAGATAACCTAGAGGAAATGAAAGAATTCCTAGGAACATACAAATTCGCAAATCTGACTCAAGAAGAAATAGAAAATCTGATTAGACCTATAATGAAATTAAATCAGTAATCAAAAAACTACCAACAAAAAAACCAGGACCAGCAGACTTCACTGATGCGTTCTATCAAAAGTTTAAAGAAGTTAACACCAATCTTTCTCAAACTTGTCCCAAAATACAGAGGAAACACTTCCTAATTCATTCTGTGAGACCAGTGTTACCCCGACACCAAGTCAGACAAAAACATCACAAGAAAAGTTCTAAAATACTCAATGAAATAAATACTAGCAAACTGAATCTAGCAGCACATTAAAAGGCTTGTCCCCCATGAACAAGTGGGATATATCAAAGAAAGACAAGGATCATTCAATATACAAAAANCAATACTGGCCCAGCATTCCTGCACAGCAGTTGCTGCTGGAGCCAAGTTGTAGCTGCCTCCTTTAGGCATGTACTCTCCATTTTGCCACAGGCCCCAACACTCTCTAATGCATTATACTATCGTATGTTACCCATTTGGCCCTGCAGGCCTTTGAGTTTGACACCCTGGTCTATGCATTTGGGGCCACCTGTGTTCATCCTGGTGCTGATTCTTTCTGCCCTCCTGTCCATCTGGCTGCCCTCTTAGTCTTGCCTATGGGACCCAGCCCATAGTAAGTATGGGCTAGAGGACTGTGAACTCCACAAAGGCACCTACTTGCCTTTCAAGGTCAGTGGAAGGTTGTTAATACTGTTGATTATGCTCAGGACAAAAAAGATGGAGAGGGAGACAATTGACCTTATAGGTCATCTTTCTGGGAGAGGACTGTACCTGGTCTTTTCTTGCCTCCTGGAGATATGAGTCAAGGCCAGTCCAGGCTACACATCTAATGTCACTTCTGGAATAGAGGATGAGGCACCAGATGAATTCAGCCCTGAGTAAATTTGCAACAGTTGTGGGGCATTGGAAAGAACAGTATGTGTTAGGAGTAGGGCTGGGACTAGGGTGAGGCAAGTGAGTCACTTGTCTCAGGTGCAAAATTGGAGTGCTCACTTTGTGGCTGGGGAAATGGTCCTGAAGTGGTGGTCTCATACTTTATTATGTATCAAGATCATCTGAGGAGCCTGTGAAAGATGCAAGTCCCTGAGCCCTCACAGATTCTGAGCAGGCATGGAGACCAGGAAACTGCATCTGTAACTTGGTTACCTTGATTCTGATGCTGATCTAAATGTTCCCATACTGAGACAGAACTCCTGAGACTACAGGTGTTCACACAGAGGGCAGGTGAGCATGGAATTCGGTCAGGTAATGAGAGATGGGACAAATAAATCCACTCCCAGCTTTGGGAAGAGGGACCTGAGAGATGAACCTTTGCAGATAACCATGGTCCAAGACCAGCTGGATGGCCATGCCATGTCCGTCCTCTTGCTTTAGCCCAGAGTTACAGTCCTAGCCTAGGGCTTGGCCTTTTTTTTTCTGCTGTCAGGTCCTTCCTGCTCTAGCTGATAAGGAGTAGAGTCAGACCTAGAAACAAGTCAAGCAGATAACTTAAATTTTTACCCCACAACACCTGAAAGCTCTATGTGTGTTCCTCTAGGGACATCAATATTCAGTCTTCCATCTGGCCCCAGACAGGGTCCCCTCAGCAAAGGATTCAGTCAAGCCCCCAACTCTATGAGGGGCTCTTGTCCTCAGCCATCACTCCTTGGAAAGCTCTACACCGGTGTCCTACCTGAACCTGGTTCCTTTGCAACAATCAGCTGATCTAGTCCTAAAGTGGAAAGAGCACTGGTCCAGGAATCAAGCATCCCTCTTCTAATCTCAGCTCAGCCACTGGTTTGCTGTGTGACCCTGAAAAAGTCACTTC